TTTTTTTTTTGGCGTTCTTCTCGTATTTAACAAAATTGTAATAACAAAACGATGAAAGTTTACACTGTACTCATTTACACGAAATAATAAAGTTAGGTGGTACCGAAAGAATTAAAAAAAACTACGTAGCATATTAAGATTGCAAAGTAAACTTTGTTGTATTACTATGTAGAACGATTTATTTTAAAAAATTTCATAAAAGGTAATAAGTGTTATTTATAACACACGTTGCTTTGTTAATCTTTTGATAAGTCGCAATATCGAAAAAATAAAATGTACTACGTACATCAAGTGTTCTGATAAGATATTAAGTGCGTTTGTATAATGTTTTGATGATTATACATTTCAAGGACGAGAATAAAATGCGATACTTACTTAAATAAGGATAGCAATAGACAAACATACATATATATTTTTTTTTTGTCTGTTGATGCATAAGCAAACAATCATTTCTAATCGATCATACATTTCTTTTTTCTCCTATCCAATCACACTTACTATACGTGATTTAAATATGTCGTACTACTTTGTCAGATTCATTTTCTGACAATTGAGATTGAACTGAATATGATTTTTTTCTGTTATTCGAATATACTTAAGTACATTCTTATCTCTGTTTAGTATCAACTGCCAAACAAACATATTTTTTTTAGTAGCTCATTTATTTCATTTATATACTATTGGTTTATGAATAATATAAAAGAAAAATTTTTTTTTTTTGCTTTTTCTTTTAATCTAAAAATCAAGGTAGAATTTTCATGTTACCAAAACAACAAAAAAAAACCTTTGATAAATGATCTCGCAACAAGAATAAGAGAAAAAAAGAATGATTAGTCATTTAGACATAAATTCCCACCCACAAAAGAAGAAATAAACCACCATAACCAAGAAAAATCGATGCAATACTACAAAGAAAAAGGTAGTAAATTATAGAATCAAAAAAAAGAATTCTTACAGAGCAATCAGAAGTTCCTTTTTCCAATCACGTGTATATTTTGTACTCGTTACTTCATAAACAAAAAACCAAGCCATTAAAAAAATTCCAATGCCTATAACAAAAAAAAACCAACATATTGTTCATTGATTTTTCTTTCAGTCTATTTCTTCGTTACCTAAAAGTGTTATACTAAGTGTTGGAAAAGCACCTGGATTAACCGGACTAACCGATCGACTCATCTGATCAACATTTAAACGTACCATTTTTTAAAAAGTGATCTAAAAAAAAAGAAACTTTTTTTAAATCTATGTTGTTCTACTGAAAGACAGATGATGATGAAATGTCATTAAAAAAAAGCTATCTTGATTTTGTTAAATATTGCTTAGCAAAGTCAATTCCTTTTTGAATATTTGCATTAAGTTCTGGTTTAGCTTTTTCAATTAATTTTGTTTCATATTCAGATAATTTTCCTACACCAATACTCGTTTCCACTCCATTACGCTAAACATACAAAATGAATATAGAAAAATAAACAAAAAAAAAAATCTAAAACATACGCCAAGAAGAAGTGGTGTAGCAAAATATTTAAATTCTGTTTCTTGTGATGCTACATAACCACAGTCAATAATACCTGTTTTACCATTTAATGCATCAAGAATTGAGAATGAAAATCTTGCACCGGCATGTGCCATTGATAATGTTGCACTACCAGTACCAGCTTTAGCTTCGACAACTTCTGTTCCAGCATTTTGAATCCGACTAGTTAAACTATCTAATTCTTGTTGTGAAAATGAAACTGGTGGTGATATTTGAGATAATAATGGAATAATTGTATTTCCTGAATGACCACCAATAACAGGAACAAAAACTCGTAATGAATCAAGACCCTTGAATAATAATAATAGATGAATACTTGAATTTTCAAGAAAAACTTCTTGAACAAACTTTTGCTTCAGCAACAAATGTTGCAGCTCGAATAACATCTAATGTTGTAACACCAATAATTTTCTTTTCATTATAAACATTATATGCTTTCATAATTTCAGTAGCGATAGGAACGGTTGAATTAATTGGATTAGTAATAATTGCAAGAATAGCTTGTGAACAATTTTTTGCACATGCCGAAACAAGATTAGCAACAATTGTTGCATTTGTAATAAATAAATCATCTCGTGTCATACCTTTGAATAAAATATTCGTTTCATTTATCATTTAAAGAAAATTATTCACCAGGTTTTCTCGGTACACCAGCTGGAATAAGAACAAGATCCATATCTTTTAATGCATCACTTAATTGTTCTTTACCAACATAAGCTTTAACTTTAACTTGTGTTTCAATATGACTAAGATCAACACCAACACCTTTTGTATGTTGAATATCATAAAGAGATAAATTATTAATCAATGGACTTAATTTAAGTAATAAAGAAAGTGGTTGTCCAATGCCTCCACTAGCACCTAAGACAGCAACATTTTTCTATTGAGATATTAAAAGAAAAATTTAGATTATAAATTTAATTAATTTGATAACATACAGTTTGAATTGATGGTGATAAAATTGATGTATAACGAATAAGTTTCGGTGTAACAGATGAAATGAAAGATATGAACAATGTTGGAGGTTTGTTCATGTTTTAAGTTTTAAAAGAAAAAAAAACTAGATTTAGGTCCATTTTTTATGCTTATGAGCTGACGTCGAAGAATTCTAACCAATCAGATAAAGCGCTATATTCAATGTGTATTATTAATAAATTATATATTGAAAAAATTTATTGAAATTATTTTTACAAAATACAAATTAATCAAATATTTAAAAAGAAAAGAAAAGATTTATGTTTTTAATGAAATGATGAAAAAGGTCTTGAAACAATTTTTCATAGGGCCATCACATCAATCAAACGCGCTGTATCGTGATTGGGGAATAGGTATGACACAGTAGAATACATAAAATACGATCGTTTGTCGAAAAAGATTAGATATTATATTTATTTACATAGTTGTTCATATACAGTTTTAGATTAAATCGAAAATGTTCTTCTCTATCGTGCTATTTGCATTTGGTATCATTGCATCTGTAAATGGATTTTATAGTTCAAGTGATGATGTTATTCAACTGGATCCAACAAATTTTGATCGTCTTGTTCTACAAAGTTCTGATGTATGGTTTGTAGAATTTTATGCATCATGGTGTGGTCGTAAGTATTTATTTCATAATGATACTCATTTCGATTGAACTGAATTATTAATTAGATTGTCAACAGTTGACACCTGAATGGAAACGTGCTGCAACAGCATTGAAAGGTATTGTTAAAGTTGGTGCTGTTGATGCTGATACACATAAATCACTTGGACAACAATATGGTGTATCGGGTTTTCCAACAATTAAAATATTTGGAACAAATAAACGATCACCAACAGATTATCAAGGTGGACGAACAGCTGACGCTATCGTCGAACAAGCTCTTAATCAATTGAGAACTGTTGTTAATGAACGATTGGGTAAACGAGGAGGAGGAGGAGGAAGTAGTGGTGGAAGCGGTGGAAAAGATACAATTGAATTAACGGATAGTAACTTTCAGGTAGTTTATTTTGATTTTATGACAAACAAAAATCATTCAATATATTTTTGTTTTTTGACTTTTAGTCAACTGTTCTTGATTCAGAAGATGCATGGCTTGTTGAATTTAGTGAGTATTTTATTTCAAAAGTCTTCTAATCATCTACTGTGAAAATGATTAATCTTTGAGAATGATAGAGTTCTAAAATTATTCACATGATGAAAACTAACAAAGTTTGATCAAATTTTCAACATGGATACAGTGACACTCATCAGAAATTACGCTATATGAGCGAACCGATTCAAATCCTGTAACTAATAAAATTAATCTTGAACATCTGAGAAAGAAAAGATATTTGATATGAAATAGATTCTTGTATAGAAATAAGGGTTGACAAATTTATTGATCATAATACTGCTAACGAAGTCTAAAATTCGTATTTGTTTATACTTTCGCGTTTGACTTGATAAACTTGAGAACAAATAAATTAAAATTTGTTGTTTATCCCTGGTCTTTTCTTTCTCTCATCTTATATATTTTTTTTCTTTTTATTGACAACACTGAAGGAGACACTTTCGAGAAAAAATTTTAAAAAAATATCAACAAATCTATCTTGATATTTTTATACGATAAGTGTTTTTGTTAGAAGAAAATTAATCAATATAATTAAAAAAAAAAAACTTTATTGAAAGGATTCCAATGTTTGATTACACAGAAATTAATCCTAAAAACGAAAAAAAAAAAAGAAATCTACAATAATTACTATACCCTAAATGATAAATCCCGCTTTATCCATGTACTTGAATATCTTAAGGTTAGAGCAATTAGTAAAAAGAATGTGAATGGTTTTATTTTCGATCTATTGAATAAAAATTTCAAACATTTTTGTCTCTTGTTTTTTTTTAGTGGCTCCATGGTGTGGTCGTAAGTATATATATCAACAATTTTCAAACTTTATTTTTCATATATACCTTTTATAGATTGTAAGAATTTAGTACCTGAATGGGCTCGTGCTGCAACAGAATTAAAAGGTAAAGTTAAACTAGGAGTTGTGGATGCAACTGTTCATACTCAATTGGCTCAACGATATGGAATACAAGGTTTTCCAACCATAAAATTCTTTCCAGCCGGTAGAAAATATGGTCAACCAGAAGATTATAATGGTGGACGAAGTTCAAGTGTATGTATTCATTTATTTTTTTTTTCTTATATAAACTAAAAAACAGCCTATTTGTTTTTTTTTTCAATAGGATATTGTTGCTTGGGCTTTAGATAAACATCAAGCAAATATTCCTCCACCTGATGTATTTGAAATAACTAATCAAGCTGTTTTAGATAGTAATTGTGCTGAAAAACAATTGTGTATAATATCATTTTTACCAAATATACTCGATTGTCAGTCAGCTTGTCGTAATGAACATATAAGAATGTTAAAAAAATTCGGTGAAACTTATACACGTAATGGTTGGGGTTGGTTATGGGTTGAAGCATTTCGTCAACCAAAACTTGAAGAAAGTGTTGGTATTGGTGGTTTTGGTTATCCAGCACAAGTTGCAGTTAATGCACGTAAAGGAAAATATGTTGTATTAAAAGGTGCATTTAGTGAAACGGGTATTAGTGCATTTTTAAAAGAATTATCAACGGGTCGTTTAACAAGTCCACTTGTACCATTAAGTGGCGTTGCGGATGGAAAATTACCAACTATTCTTGATAGTGAACCATGGGATGGTAAAGATGGAAAATTAGATGAAGTTGAAGACATTGATCTTAGTGATGTTAATTTGGATGACGACGATGATGTTGATATGAAAAAGAAAAAAGTTGACTTATAATTAATTATTTATATTTGTATAAACAATACAACGCAACAAAAACGACACACATACGATCATATAATTGACATTCCCTCTGCGCTTTGTTATTGATGGTCTTTTTTTTTCTGTTTTTTTTTTATATGTGCATGTCATTCACGTTAAGATTGTTACTTTTTTTTTGGAATGTCTAACGTAGATTAATAAAAAAACAACATTGCATTGAAATAGGTTTATATGTTTTGTTGTTGCTAGTTTATTCATCACGAAATTTCGAGCTATTATAACATAATTGATAATAATGAGATGTTTATTTTCTTTTGTCCTAGATTTTTTTTTTCTTCTTTTTTCTGTTCTACTAAATAACAGTGAACGTACTTTGCCCTACAAGCATGTATTCTCTTTTTTTCTTTTTCTTTTCTTATTGCAGTAGCTTTTTTTCTTTTCCGTTCTTTTTTCGTCCGAGTCGATAAATCACAAAGCTTTCTTTTTTCTCGTCGGCTCTAGATAGTAGCGTTGTTTCTTCTTATTATGTAAGAAAGTTTATGTAGGCGTAGACATGTGTAGTGTGAAAAGAAACTCTTTCCTTTCTAATTAACCATTTTAACATTATTTCTATCATTATCAGTCTTCCAGCAAAATATTTATTTGAAAATGTAGGTTCCTATATTTTTAATGATTTCTAATAGGTACCTTATATATTCTTATATGTATCGATCGTCGACCATAAAATAAACAAACATTATCTACCTGTTCGAACTTCTAATTATATATGTATATATATAAATATATATATTTTTTTTTGGTGTATTGATAGAGCTATATATATGGAGTATCGATCACATTTTTTTTCACGAATGACAATGGTGATAATGACAAGGACAATGGCTACGTAATTATTTTTTTGCATAGAAGAAGCAATTAATAGAAAGAAGAATTATATAGCTTATATGTGATACGATAAAGCATGTGAGTATTCTGTCAACAGTCAGTATGTTGTACCAAGCAGTATTACGTTCTATCTATCGAATACAGTGTACCACAAACAATGAGACTATCATTTTAGCTTAAGAAAAAAATCGTTATTATTTAGATAAAAATATACAAAAAGAGAATCTGTCTATTGATATTTTAGATCAGTTTATATGTGTTCATTGTCCATCATTCACGTTTAGATTTCTGTCCAATTGGTGCGATCATTATCGAGTCAATCATCAAGTCTTCGGGTCAGTATTCATTCGTGTATCTTTAATCGTTCAATCGATAGTTATTCAAATTCATATACAATCACTTGATGTTAATCGATCATCCGACATAAAATACTAAATGTAAAGTCAGCTCGATTATAATATCAATTACCGATCAATCCTTTTAATATATATAGTCATATGCAGATATTTCGAATAATTGTATGGTAGAAAGCTCGTTCTGTAGGCATACTTTTTTTAGAAAAAATATTATATATAGACGAATACCATAGTATCAATATTGTCTTCTAGGGACTCATATTTATTTATTCTACACTCGATTGTTTTCTTGCTACCATACACATTCATAACATAGAAGTGTGTTTGTACATGTTCACAAGATGTCTTACTTTGAATTGAAGAGATCTCAATTTTATACGTAATAAACACCTGTTACTTGTTAAACGTCCTGAAATTATGAAAATTATGTCACTGTATTCTATTTTTCGTTCGCACATGTAACAGTAACCTACATTATAAAATTCTCAGGTATACTTCATAATAGTTTGTATGGCTAATACATTTCATTTCTTTTCATATTCAATTCCGTAATATATTTATGATCAATAATGAATTCTCTTTTTCATATTAAAACTGAACCGATACAGAATGCAACAATTGCATAAGTTATAATCAAACAACAAGAACGAAAAGAGAAAGAGAGAGAGAGAGAGAGTGAAACAAAACACTTGAAAAATGAAATTATAAGTGTCTTTTTTTTCATGACTATATGAAATAAATATCAAGAAATTTCATTTCATTTCTTTTTCTTTAGGTAGTTAACTGTCGATGTCCAAAGTTCTTTCAAAGTTTGTTTACTTGAATATTTTAGAATTTTTTTTTTATTGATTAAATTAATTTAGATCAATAAAATATTAATCATGCAATCATTGACTATATACGCACGATTAGTTGCACGTGCTGTTAGTGGTACCGAAGCGGAAAATTTTTTATATAATAGTTTATTACGTGTATCAACATCATCGTCTATTCATCATTCTCAATCTTCTAATCGTTCAGCTATATCATCATCACCAGCAATAACACGTGCTGTACATCTAGTCACTGCTACATCAGGTTATTCAGGTCATGATGATGATGATGAAGATGAAAAAGGACATGTAGGAAAAAAAAAGAAGAATTCATCAAAAATACAGCGAACAAATCGATCGAATGTTTATGGTGATGATGCATTTTTTATAGCTAAAAGTCGTATAGGAGATTTTCTTGGTAAAAAATATTTCTTTTCAATAAATAAGATTTTTTTTCAATCTTTTTTTTTAAAATTTAGGTGTTGCTGATGGTGTTGGTGGTTGGCGTGAATATGGTATTGATCCATCTTTATTTTCAAGTTCTCTTATGGAAGCATGTAAATGTTTGATTGATAATAAACTTCTTGATTTAAATCCTTTAACGTTAAAAGAACTACTTTCAAAAGGTTATAAACAATTATTAGAAGATAAGCAATGTATTATTGGTAAAGAAAATCTGAAGACAAAAAGAAAACTTTGTTTTTTTGATAAAACTTTATTTTCTATTTTTAGGTAGTAGTACCGCATGTATTGTTGCATTACATAAAGAAAAAAGTATTTTACATACAGCAAATTTAGGTGATAGTGGATTTGTTGTTATAAGAAAAAATACTATTGTACATCGATCACAAGAACAACAACATTATTTTAATTCACCATTCCAATTAGCTATACATCCGACAATTAAAGATCCAAATTTAATTTCTGATAGGTAAAAATTATATTATTTTTGTTGATAAATATTAGAGTTTTTAAAGTTTTGAAGGATTGATTAATTTAAGGGTAAAAATTGTTTTATTTTTCATAGTTTATTTTTGCATTTTATTTTCATAGAAAATGAAGAAAAAATAAAAATATTATTTTTGATTTATTTAGTCCTGATGTAGCATCGGTTACGTCATTTAATGTTGAAGAAAATGATTTTATTGTTATTGCAACCGATGGTTTATGGGATAATTTACCAGATTCAACTGTACTTGAAGAAATTAAAAAGATAATAGTAAGTTGATTTACTTGTAAAAATTTGAAAAGAAGAAAATATTAACACATGATGAAATAATATCAATAATTGATTTTAATCAAGGTTTATATTTTTCAAGTAATTGTTAATCGTTATTCGTCTGTTTTTTTCTCACTAAATAATACCAAACATTGATACAGTGTTTATATTCATCAATAATGTGTACCGACACTATGGATATGTTTGATATATGATCTAACATATTATTTTTCTTGTTACATCCAAGGACGAAAACATACAAGGAATGTCTGACATTTATTGATAGTTCCATATTAATATTAAATAGCATTTACGCCATTTTATTTTTGGTTGACTTATCAGAACAGTGTTATATTGAAGGATAAAATTTGAGTTATATGAAGACGAGCGAAAAAAAAATCGATGTGTGATGAATATTTTGAAAATAAAAAATTATGTCTATTCTAGGAACCAACGTTGGATAATTTACAACAAACTGCACATGCTTTAGCTAAACGTGCATTAGAGAATGGACATGATCCAAATTTCTATTCACCATTTGCTAAAAATGCTAGAAGATCATTAGGCATCAATATCTGTGGTACGTAACATATGTTATAAATGTAATTTTGAAATATAGTACAGTAAACATAATTTTTTTTCTGAACATTTCTAAATAATAAAATTAATACTATTGCATTCAGATTTAAAAAGTTCAATTCGTACTAATTCTTTGTTCTTAGTTAGCAAATTTTGATTTTATTTGTCGATAGAATTTTATGTTTGATATATCATATAAGAAAAAACGAAGAAAAGTCTATAACTAGAGAACAAAAGAATTGAGAAAAAAAACCTTTAAATTCTAAAATGTTTAATTTTATTCTTCTTTCTAGGTGGAAAACCTGATGATATTACAGTATTACTTGCTGTTGTAACGCCTACAGGTTGATCAGTCTTCAACGAATGCAAAACATGGTGCTATATGTTCTCCTTTTGTTAAATCTAGTCGTGAATAACCAGAAATAAACATGTCTGTAGCACATACGTTTAGAATCCGGATTTTATCAATGTTATGATGTCATAAAGTTTTCTGTAATTGCCTCTATACCCAACTTATTAAGGCAATGGATTTGTTGTTGTTCATTTTCTTTGTCTTCTCATCAAATTTACCCGACACGTACTATGTATGTAGTTCGGAGATCGTTGATTGTTATCCATTCTTTTTTTTCTAGTTTTTCTCATTCTCATCATTCAAAGAAAAAATCAAACAAATAATAGACTTGATTATTTGTAGACATGTTAAATCAATCTGAAGAATTTATTAAGCTTTGGTCAATAATACTTGGTCGATATGATAAGGAGAGCATTTAATTGCTTATAACATGATTTCATAATCAAAAAACAATCATTATTAAATAATTTTCAAGATAAATTTGAATAAGTAATTGTATATGAAAATACAAGTTCAATGTTTAATAATAAATTATTTTAAATAAAGATATCTCCCAGAATAGTAATCGAGAAATACTTTTGATTGAGAGTGAATCAATTTTAGCATATGTGTTATTATTAGCAAATATTGATGAGTACATGTCGAAAGATGAATCCGATATTTAGAAACCTATATTTTGTATGTAACAATCTGTTGAATCTTGATTTGAATTTTGTAATCAATTGGGTTAAGAACTCGAGTAATTTTTAATAGAAATAATTAAATGAGGAGCTGGTTTGAAGCAGTATTTATTTTAAGTTAAAAATATTAGTCCAAGGTTTAATGAATTTATCATTGAATATGTAGTGTTTAAAAGATTTTTGAAATTTATACTAAAGAATAGTCGGAATAACAGAAACAATTCATCAAGTGAACCATTATTAAAACAAAATTATATTTGTGTTTGGAGGATATTAAACTGAAAGCCAATGAAATGTGAAGAGATAAACAAAATTCTTTAAATGACGACAGTTTACTTCAAATTTTATTGCTAAATATTACATTCAGAAGTACCCACAAATTTCAAGAGCAAGATATTTAAACTGAAACAATATTAAAAATGTTGCAGGATAGTCCAAATTTTTTTATGTTGACTGAAAAAAAACAGTAAATGACAACAAGTCAACAAACAGCAATGATTTTCACATGATTCAACTGTACTTATAATGAATGGAGAAAATATCAATTAGTTTTTCATAATTAACGCTTGAATCTCTCTTAATGGCCAGTAAAGAGAAAAATCTCTTGCACAATTATTTAAATTTATTCTAGTAGAAAAGTGTTTGCAATAATAGCAGTAGATTAAATCCACACACACACCCTCAATCCAATCGATAATGCAATGTTTAGCTTGTTCACACAATCTACGGCCGAAGATACACTTAGATTTAAAGCCTATAGATTTGAACCATTCTGTCCGAGGAGATATTATGATCAAGTAAGTTGACCATGCTAACTAGAAAGCACCAGCTTCACCAGCAATGAGTAAGTGTAGGATCAAGCGGCGCTAATACCTAAAGAGATCGTCATAAATCGACTTCTTTCTAGAGAGGACTAATGTCGTAAAGCTATTCCACTATGAGAGAGAGTATACTATACGAAGTCCCGTACAGTACATATGCGTAATTTTTTTTCTGTCTTTTGGTGAAGAAGAATCAAGTACAGAATAATCATAGAAAGTGCGGGAGGGCTTATGATAAGAAGATTTTTCTTCTTATTTCAATATCTTTTTTCCTAAAGGTTCTAAAGATCATACGCGTCGCACGATATGCCTGATTAATACTCTTCATTCGTTCATCAATGTATTTATCCCAGCCTAATTTCACTGTCACATTTATCCACAAGGATTTGAATTTACTAACATATTCAATCCTTCGATTCTTATAATAGATTTTGGGATAAGATGGTAAAACTATATTGTGTATCAACATCGCCTTCGTTTTTGATATATTCACCGAGAGAATCAAATTATCGGCGAATTTCTCGAGTTGCTTCAGCACAAAAGCAGCATGTTATTCAAGTTCATAGATGTTTTCAGAGAATTTTCTTTCAATTGATTCACAGAGGACAAGCACGAGATCGTCTGCAAAAATGTGTACTATGATATTGTTGAAATAAGATGAAATGAAGTGAATGTATAATCGAAAGAGAGTTGCCGCGACAACAGGACCTTGGGAGAGGAAGGCTCCTGTCTTCATTTGCACTACTCGTGATTAAACATTTCCATAATGTATGCTAAAGAATCTGCCTTTAAACCAGTTGCAAATCCATTTTAATAATGGTAAAGGCATGTTCAATTCATAGAGATTACGGATGAGTGCAGGTACCCACATATGATCGAACGCAGAGAGAAAATCAATAAATAACGTCAATGAAGGTCGGTTGTTCGCAGCAACTGTCAACCTCAATATCTCTATGAATGTTATAATTCGGGTTTATAATCTGCTACCAGGAGAAAAGCCTGATCGTTCATCGGTGTAAATAATGTTGTTTTCACACCATGATAAAATTCTACTATGAACGATACGCTCATAGCACTTCCCAAGGTTGCAAAGGGGGGATATGGGACCAAGACGTGTTCAGGAGGGGGATATATATCTTTTTTTGGTATACATATTATTGTAACATGTTTTGCAGCAGAATAGAATTCACTCTTTTTTGAGCATTTATTGAATAGGACTGCTATTATATTCATGTATTCTTCGGGTGATTTCTTCAAAAGAAATACTGAAGTATTTGCACTATCTGTCAACTTTTTTTTGGTGATATTTTTTTCCATACATTCATTACTTCATGTAGTGATATTGTTTCTAATGGAATGTTAGGTAATAATTCAATTTGATCAAAAATGGAGATACATTTTCGATGAAAAGGATCATTTACATCAGGTGTAAGTTCATCAAAGTGTTTCTCATAGTGATTAGCCGGCACATCCACTATCATTTTAGGATCCTTCGCTTTATCGGAATTTATTGTTAACCCGCGAAATGGAGAAGAGACAAGATGAAAGATAAGACGTGTAAATTTCCATATATTTTGTTCTTTCGCTATCCATTTCATCTTGCCCTCATACTTTTGTTGTATTAGTTTAGATCTCTCTTCACGAAACTTGGCTTTAACTTGTAAAAAATACTCAAGATGAATAGCAGTTCTATTACGTCGATGGCTACGTCTTCTTCTGTTCATTTCCATAGCAAAAGCTACTAGTGTAGGTGGCCAAGGGGATCTATATTGTTTTGTTATTTTTTATATACTACATCGATCCCATAATGTGGTGAGAAAGTTTGAGAACTGTATGAAAAAGAATTTTTCATTAGAGTTGTATACTAAGGTCAACCAATATTCAAAGACATTACGAAGAAAGAAGGAAAAAAATATTCCAGTTTGTAATTCTAAAGTTATGTGATTGTGAAACAGGTAATAGTGAATATAAGAGAATAGGGAAGTGATTAATATCCTGATCTTGTACACATATCAGTCGTCAATATATCAGCAGTCATATATTGTTTCTACTTACATGAATATTGAAATTGATTATTATGCTTTCATCATAGTCGAACCAAAATATCATCAGATAAATGGATACACAGATAAATAATGAAAATCTCTTGTGCAGAAAGAAACTACACGAAAATGTAGCACAACATGGCCGTATTAAAACCTCGTGGATTCAATCAGAGCATACAGTCGACGACAAAAGTTTAAACAAATTTGTTTCTTTCATTGTTTTTTTTACACATTTGTTTTTTCAATTTTTCTTTGACATGAAGAGATGCTCATCTGACTCAAGTGGTGATGTAGATAGTAAGTGAGGCCGACTACATCATTTAGTCTTGAAGAGGACTTGTATGTCTATAGAGTTTTTTCATAATTAATCTTTCTCAAGGATTTAATCTTCTATCGCATAGGTATTTACCGCTTTATCAGTTTCTTTTGTAAACAATGACTACTCATGAAGAAACCTGCTATACTGTCAAATGGATTTTGAATATACACTTCGCTCAAGTCGATACATTCTAATGAGTAATTAAATTTTAAAAATTGTTTTGATTTTTGCAGATCTCGCAAGCAAAATTATGCATTAACAACTATACCTGTTTCTTGATAATCCAGATGTTCGACTAGCTCGATGCCATATTATCTATATCAATAAACAAAATCAATTTCTCTCGATGATATATAATAAAGAGAGAAACAAATACATTTAATATAGAGACGTATGGTCTATGTCTATAATAGTCATAGAGAATACAACTATTTAAATCACTCACTGACACTCATGCAGATATAAAATACAAAGAAAAACGAAAAGAAGATGTGATGATTTCATTTTTTTAAACAATTTGTAAATCTTCGATTGAAAACAATAATCCAATAGAAATCAAACAAAATGATCTATCTCCAAGAATACTTGTTGTTTATTCTTGCAGTTCATGTGAAGTATTAAAACAAAATCCAACATATAGATCAGTTTATATTCGAATATTTTGTATAATACTACTGAAATTGGATCATTAATATCAATTGCGTCCAAAAATTTTCATCCTGTTTGTAATCGAAATATCAATTCAATCGATATTCGATTTTAATATTATTTCTTGATTGCATATGATGAGTATATTGTTGAAAAAACGAAACTTACTGATGATAATTCATTCAATGATTAAAAATATATTGAGCGAAATTTTAGTGCAAAATTTTGATCATTTAGTCATTATTTATTAAATAATTCTATGATACGATATGATTGAATAATAATCAACTTGTTTTAGACTTTTTTAAATAGTTCTTTAGGATGAAATCTTTGGTTTCATGAACAAAAAATATCTAATCGAATAGTCGTAAATGGATATTTAATATACGTCGTTATGTCTATATGTATGCTACCTCGGTGCTGGTATTTTTTCTTTTTATTATACTGAATTCATTCGTTAAAATTTTTTTTTTGAAAGATAAACAAGAGAAAACGACGAAATGATGTACATACATTTCAACTACTTGAACGGTTAGAATAACAAATAGAAAGGTAAATCTAAGGTTGCACTTTACAATCATTTTAAAAAAGGGGTGTGCACATTTGTAGTATTGGAGTAAAATTTTATGTAATGCTTTGTAAATCATTAGTACGCCATTGCTTTATTGCGATTAATCAACGACAACTTCATAGGACACATCCACGTATTTTAATTACAGGTAAAAAAAAAACTTATTAGTTATCTGTTTTGAGTGATATGTCTATGCAATTTCATTTCAGGTGGATGTGGACAATTAGGAATACCATTAGCTAAACGATTACGGTAAGAAATCAAGAAGAATTTTAAAGATATTCTTAATGATTTCTGTAGAGAACTATATGGTGTTGAAAATATTGTACTCTCCGATATTGTTCGTCCTTCGGATGCACTTGTTCAACAAGGTTTGATGAATAATTAATTGTTTTATTTAAAAGATAAAAATTTTCTAAAAGGAATATATCGATATGCTGATGTAATGGATATTAAACAAGTTCAAGAACTTTTAGTTAATAATCAAATTGATTGGCTTATTCATCTCAGTGCTTTACTGAGTGCTGTTGGTAGAATTTTATTATTTTTTTTAAAGATAATCATTCCTTTTTTTTGTTTTTTTTTTATTTTTTAATTTTAGGTGAAAAAAATGTTTCATTAGCAATGAAATTAAATATTGAAGGTACACATCATATGCTTGAATTAGCACGAAAATATAAGTGTAGAATATTTATTCCAAGCACAATTGGTTTGTTATTGCAATTCTGTTTTTTTTTTCTTATAAACATGATAGAATTTTTGTTTTGTAAGGTGCCTTTGGACCTGATTCACCACGAAATCCAACACCAGATCTTTGTATTCAACGTCCTCGAACAATTTATGGTGTATCAAAAGTACATGCTGAATTATTAGGCGAATATTTTTTTTATAGATTTGGTGTTGATTTTCGATGTTTACGTTTTCCAGGAATTATATCAGCTGATACAAAACCAGGCGGTGGTACAACAGGTTTGTTTAAATTTTATAATTTTTTCTTTTATCTATTTTGATTTTTTTTCAGATTATGCAATTGAAATATTTCATGAGGCTCTAAAATCTGGTTCTTATAAATGTTATTTGCGTGGTGATACACGTTTACCAATGATGTGGATTGATGATTGTATTCAATCAATTATAAACATTATGGAAGCATCAAATGATCAATTAAAACAACGAACATATAATGTTGCTGCATTGAGTTTTACACCAGAAGAATTAACAAAAGCTATACAAAAGTATAAACCTAATTTTAAAATATCCTATCAAGTTGATGATCGTCAAAATATTGGTAAAAAAGAAGATTTTATTTAAAAACAATTTATTTTTCTTTTTTTTTTTTTTTTTTGAAATAGCTGAATCATGGCCACAAGTACTTGATGATCGTAATGCTCGTGAACATTGGAATTGGACTCCAAAAGTTGATCTTGATGGACTTGTGCAAAAAATGTTTGATTATTTAGAACGAGAAAACAATTTGAAATAATTATTAGCAGTTTTTTTTTCTGTGATCTAACTAATGCAAATAAAACAAAAACTGTTTGAGTTTATTCACCTATGAGTGAAGAAATAAGACGAAAGAACTACACAAGAAAAAAAAAACAATATAGAAGTTTATTCAAAAGGAGATTCGTTTTTTTTTTTGAATAATAATTAGTTATTAATGACGGTATTGCCATTCGAAAGAATTATCATTGAACTATAATAACAAAAAAAAAAATGAAAATTTATAATAATATTTTTTTAAGATCGAAAAATGAATAGAGTAAACTGAAAGAAATCTTACTATGTTAAATTCAGTTTTATGAAGTATTCATTTTATCGATATGTATGAAAGTGAGATGTTTCGTAATTGCGACTGGTAGTTTTTAATTGATCACTTACAATATAGCAAACTAAAGTGTACTAGTCACATGCACATATTCTGAACTAAAGATTAAATCGTTTTGGGTCAATTAGACTGTCTAATCTACTAGAAAATATTTGATTTTTTAACTGTTATTATTTAGAGCATACTCAAAGTAGTGTCACTAGCACTATGATATTCAACAGAAGACTCGAGGAAAATTCTGTACATATAAATATACAGATAGTTCAAACAGTACTCTACAATTCAATAATATTTTATCATTCTTCCAATGGGTATGATAATATTAAAATTTTGATTAAAACTGTTCACCTCTAATTTTCGATGAAACTTTCGCTTCTACATTAAAGCTTGTACTGCACTATATATATATTCAAGTGAGATTTATTTGCAATGAAGTCTGTTATATGTTCGTTCGCTAGGCTTTACCTCTCAGAAAAGTTAAAGGATGCTATTGTATGGAAGATCGAGAAGAGATTGAAGATGAAGTATGATCCAATGAATCTGTAATCAAACAATACCGAAAAAGATCGAATAGACTCATTGTTTTATTAACGATGATCCTTACATTACAATTGATGAATTGCTATACTGAGTCATGACACTATCCAACGAATAATCTTCGATCATCGTAAGCTTAAAAAAAATTACTATTCATTGTACATCGAAATAGTTGATCCTGAGGATAATCATAAAATATCTGATCTCAATTACAAGTCTAGCAAGTTGTCCTTCACGAAACTATACATATCATCTTTTAACTGTTCTGATAGATAGAGTCTAACCGACGAAAACAAAATGTAGTGTCATCATGAATAACTCTCACATGTATTACATACATATAGTACAGTACGAACTTTAATGTAGAAGTGAAAGTTTCATCGAAAATCAGAGGTGAACAGCTTTAATCGAAATTCTAATATTATCATACCAACACTGAAGAATGATAGAATTTTCTTCGAACTTTCTATAAGGTATTATAGTACTACTCCTACTACTTTTAGTATGTCCTAAGTATAATTAAAATTTGTATTTATTTAAAACTAAATAATTACTTGTCTCGATTGATATGATTTTTTCCATTGATATGGAAGTTGTTGATTATTAACTTTTCTAGGTACACGCTTTAAATTAACATATGATTGAAATGTTTTTGATCCAGTTGGTGAATCAATACGTTTTTGACGTTTCATTGATGGTTTATAATAAGAACGTGTACCATTACAATTAATACCATCAAATCGATCCATACAACCTTGTTTTGTATCATTAAATATAGTACCAGGTGGACATAAAAATATATTATCTCGATTTCCAACACATACATGATAGATATTACACCAATCTATATCAGCAAACATAGCTTGTTGATTTTTATTGATACAATCAAAACGTGTTCTAAATTAAAATATAATAAAAAAAAAATATATATTTTTTTGTTTTTATGTTTTAATAATATTCTTACGGAAATTGTCCAGTAGCATCAGCACCTTCGAATAATATTGAAGCTTGTTCAGCTTTTGGTTTTGATCGAAGAAAACTTCGTGGTTGTAAACAAAGAGTTCCTTTTGTTTCATCATTAGTATCTCCTTGATAATCACATTCTTTTTTATTTTCATTGAATACAAGACCAGCTTTGAACAACAAGAATTAATTTCGAATTCTTTATTTAAAAAAAACAAAAATACATACGACTACATTCCATAGTTACACCAACACCTTGTTCATTACATTGTAAATATAGATCACAATATCGTTGATGTTCATATAGACCAGGACCTTTACTTATACAAAATTCTGAACGTAAATTAGATAAAATATCTGTTTCAGCTAATTTTTCAATAAAAAATCTTTAAGAAAAAAAAAAAGAATTAAATTTAGAAACTTGTTTGTTGTTTTTTTTCTTATTCAATTTACATAGCTTTTCCATTACAATCGACTCCGTCTGATGATCGTTCTTTAGACCAATCACATCTACCTGTTGTTTGACTTTCTTGACGCCACACCTACAATATTTCAGGACTCTTTAAATCTTTTATAATCAGATTTGTTTCTAAACAAGAATATATTTTATAACAAAATACTCAACCTTTCATGTGAATATTTTTTCTAAGACATACGTCACATTTCTTCCTTTTTTTTCGATTATAATAATCAATAGCTTACATTTTTCAAACAAAGTCATACATTTTTCAAATTTACATATGAATAATTGACTATCTTATATAACTTACTAAACCTCGTGTACAATATTGAATAGTATCAAAACCTCCATGACAATTATGATAAACATTACAGTAATACAAATCCTCATAATCTCCATTTTGTTTGACCATACAAAATTTTGTTGAACGTCCTCGAGTATTATTGGATCCTGCATGTACTGAATCATCGAGTCCTTCAGTATCTATTATATAATAAAGAAAAAAAAAGAAAAAGAAAATTCTAATAATGTAATTCAATAGAAAGAAAAACGAACCAATAAATTTTTCTCGACCTTTACAATCAACTTTATCTTCCCAATCACATTCTTTTGTTTCTTCATTAAACATAAGCCGATTTGGACATCTTTTTGAATAATCCATAGCTGCTTGACATTGATGAAATGTATTACAATATTTAGTATCTGGATAATTTCCATCTGGCTATTTAAATATCAAATTCTTATTTAAAATATAAATTAATTTATTTTATACATACTAAACGTTTACAAAAATTTTCTTTAATACCTTCCCACATATAATCTGCTTTTCCTTTACAATCAACATTAACAGCCCAATCACATTCATTTTTTTCTATTGAATATCGTAAATTATTTTGACATGTAAATACAACATCTTTTCCATTTTGACATATATAATAACGATTACAATATTGTTCATGAGCAAAATTTCCATTCGGCTATAAGAACAAAAAAACAAGAATTTTTTTAATGTTTTCATTAACTCTTTTTTTTGCTTTTCAAATTACTTTATCTGCACAAAATCCATTACGATCACTATTTTCAACTAATATATTTCCACTTTTACATTCTGTTAATTCAGGCCAATCACATCGTTTTAATGTTTCATTAAATACTAATCGTTCTGGACATTGTAATTTAACATCAATATCAGCCATACATTGATGATAAACATTACAATCTATATTTTCGCAAAACAAAAAAAAAACAAAAGAAAAATTTATTATTGAAAACAAAAGTCAAACTTACAATGTGGATCCATATAAAATCCATTGATTTTTTCCATACAAAATAAACTTGATTTCATTGAAAGAGCAACAAGAGTACGTCCTGAACAATGAACTTTATCTGACCATTCACATTTTTGTTGTTCATTATCCCAAAACAATTGATTAGGACATTGACGCATATTATCAGTGCCAGATTCACATGCATGATATACATTACAATATTCTTCATGTGGATATGATCTATTTTATTAGATAAAAATAAAAATACATATTAATTTTACGATGCTTTTTTCCTTTCATAGAAATACAATATATAAGAATACGTTATATGATAGATCTTTTATAATTCGTGTTCAAAACAAAAAAAATGAATAGACTATTAAAAAAGAAGGAGAAGTTAAATCTGTAAGACAATGTTTTATTACAAGACATTGTTGAGTACTATGCTTGAAAAAGTTATAGATGATTAGCATGTTACATTAGTGTTTTATGATTAATGTAAATTTAGTTGTTGAAATGATAGATAGAAAAAAAAATTGAGATGACAATCTAATCATGACATCATATATCTCAAGGAAGCTAAAATCCGATTCAAATCATATCGATTTTCAAAAATGAAAAAAAAAACAAATGTATATCCTATTTTAAATTTTCCTTACCCATCTGCTTTTCCTGTACAAAATGTTGAATTAAATTTACTTTCACTTGGTAACATTTTTTTTGGTAGACCACAACGAACAGATGATTTCCATCCGCATTCTTTTCTTATATCATCCCATTGTAATTCTCCTGTACATCGTACAATATGATCGGTACCACCAATACAATGATGAAATACATTACAATATTTTTCTGATGAATAACGACCATCTTGTCGATTTGTACAAAATGATGTTTTACTTTGTACAACAGGCATTGTTTTACCTGTACAATTAACATTTGTTGTCCTACAAATAAATCAATATAAATTAATAAAATTGAAATATTAACAACGTACCAATCACACATTTTCTTTTCTTCATTCCAAGCTAATTGATTAGGACAATGTTCAATATAATCAATTCCAGCTATACAATGATGATAAACATTACAATATAATGAATCTTCATAATAACCATCAGCACCAAGAATACATTCAATTGTACCATTGATTAAACTTAATTTTGATCGTGATGTAGTTGCAATTGAATCGAATTTATTATCATCAGTTTCAAAGAATGCTGCTAAACGTGTTCCACAATTAACATTTGAAGCTAATTCACAATCATAAGAAAATTCAGAAAAAAGATGACCTTCTGGACAAAGATTTGGTTCAGGTGCACCTAATGGTGTACATGTATAATACATATTACATAATCGTCGATCTGGATAACGAATATTATTAACACCTGATGGACAAGTAAAACCAATTTGAGAAAATAATGAATATACATTATTATTGTTTGGTGGAGATGTAACTGATTTTACAGGTACAAATGGTCTAGGTCGCAAAGTTGTTGTCTGTGTTGGATATGATGCTCGACTTGTTGAAACTAAAGTTAAATGTTTATTGTTAAATAAGTTTTTTTTTCTTGTTTTTATTGAACTTACTTGTTTTTGGTAATCTTGTCATCATTTGTGGAGGATTTCGGGGCCATAAGTGTTCTGGTATAGGATAAGGTCCTGGACCAGGTAAACCTGCTTGTGCAGCTGCTTCTGCAAGTAAAACAGGATTAGGTAACGATGGCTTCATATAATTAGTTTGATTTTGATGAACTATTGATTGATTATGTTGTATTTGTGACCATAAATGTGGTGGAATTAAATGAATAAGTGATTGCATTAATTTTCGATCAGTTAAATGTTGAGCTGCTTCTTCTAATGTTGTCTTATAATCATTGAATTGTTGATTATTCTGTAAAATTTTACGAACAAGATAAGTTTGATTTGACCAATCAACAAATAATTCAGTATGATTTTGAATAAATGTTGGTTTTGTTGAATTATTAGTTAGAAACATATCGACTGTTTGATTTATTTGTTCATGTGGTGGAGTTGGTTCTCGATAATTAAAATTATAATATTCATTTTCTGTTGATGGTAATGAAATATTATTGAATGAGTAAGTACTATTGTGTTGTAATATTGTTTTGTTCGTTGTAGAAATGAAATCTGTTTTGATTCTTGATTCATTTGTCATTGCCAATGAAAAATCACTTGTTGATAATGTTGTTGGTAGATTAACCTCTAAACGATTATTTAATGGACTATTAAAATCATCTTCTCTTTGAAATGATGATGATGATAATGATCTTTTATCTGTATTTGTATTATCAAATGCTTGATGATAATTTTGAATATAAATTGATTGATGTTGTGCATGAAGTAAACCTTTGAGAAAGAAAAGAACATCAATTAAATTTAATTGATAAAATATAAACCTGTACTTATATATAAAACTATGATGCATAATGAATGATATATCCATATTGACATGTCTGTGAAGTGTTCAATTGATCAATATACGAAGAACTGAAATCAATGACAACGACGATAGGCTATATTGGCCTAATCAAATTGTTGTGTGTACGAATGCAATTACTCGAGTTTATCTCTTTGCATGCTTATGTAGTCCGTCCACAACTTTCTCTCTCTCTCTCTCTCACTTTTTGTCTTTTTTTTGTGCGTGTGTGTATGTTTGTATATATGTCATTGTTTGTTTTACACTCGATCTTAATTGTAAAGAAAGGCGAGGAAGCTTTAATGTCCAGCCTATGTGTACTATAGAAGAAGACTTGACACGAAATACCAAAAAAAAAAAAAAAAA